TGGGGGAAAGGAATATATCTTATAATGAAAACACAAGACAAAAACATAAGCTATGGCAGATTTTTCAACCAAGCCTACACTTCTTTCACACATACACACACCCCTCTCCCAGGGCCCCTTTTCCTCCCCTCATCCTTCCCATCCTCCTCCTCCCCTCTCTCATCAAGGGTCATTTGCTCAGTTTCCTGTCTGCCTCTCCTGGCTTTTCCTCTCCATCTCTGATTGGTGAATTTCTACAAGCCTCTGATTGGCCAGTGCTTACAGTGCCTCCCCTCATTAAAACACCTCCCCTTTTTTGGGGACACTCCTTCTTTCTCTGAGGACAGCCTCTTCCTCTGAATCTCCACCTCTTCCTTAGGTGCTCCTCCTCCTATACTTTCAGAGAAGAAGGGTGTTAGAGTGCCTCCTGGTGGACGCCACGTTTTACATTGTGCAGCATCGTTTTTAAAGATTAATGCTGTTCCTCACTAAATACAATACAAGATTAATATCTTTAACAAAATGACTACAACTTACCTGAAATTTTAATGATGAAAAATGAAAAATATTTCTTTAAGAAACAGAAATAGACAAGAGGCTCTTTCAAATTAACCTTTAAACTCTGGATTTGATCATCCAAACCTAGAGTGGCATCTAGTGGTTCTATGTGGAAACAGGAGACAAAGGAAAAACATTTTATTACATTTTAAGTAAACTATAAAAAAAATTTCTTGTCAGTATTTAATGTAGAATAATATTGACATTAATTTAGAGATCAAAATGTGAGTAAATCAAAGCCTGAGATTATTAATATTGCCACACATTTAATTATCACTTAAGGTGATTTTTGCTTCCCCAGGATTCAAAAGACAAGAAAGTTTATACACTAGATATAGTAAGTTTTAAGCAGTATTGTCTCTTAATACCTAAGAAATGGCAAGTCTGGGCTAAAACATACTCAATAATGTAATAAAATTCAACAGTGTGTCCTGGGGAAGCAGAAACAACAATTACATTTTACTGGACTAAGCACCTGAAAAAATCAAATATTTCAATTTTTTTGTAGAGTTTTGAACTGACTAAAGGCATTAAAATCAAATATGACATGGTATGATGTAAGAATTGTGAAATATGTGCATGCAATTGTCTGTATGCAGAGCTGTACCAGGCACCGGCAAAACTAAATAGCTGCTCAGGGACCCTAGGTGCTGTAAAGAGGGTCTCAAATCAGCAAATTAGAAATTGCTAATGTCAGCTAAGCATGGATTCCTTCAAATTATTTAAAGACCAATACACTGAATTGATCTATTGTCTGTGTAGCCAAAACCTGATACAATACCTTATTCCTCTGTGCCATAGCTCTATTGTTGCCCAAAAGCCACTTAAATGAGACACATTTTGCTGTAATTGACATTTTTCTTCATTATGAAGAACATTGGCATTGTAGTTTACTTTGAGACCATCCCACATACACTGTTGTGGTGGTGTAAATGCTCATTATGGTACCAAATCCACAGCTGAAAATAGTCCCCAACAAATGCACTATTTACTCCTGTTTGAGTATTGTTTGCTAAAAACTGCAGTGCCCAGCTGCTCAATCAAATAAGTTAACCCTTTTTTTTTAAATGGCAGTTTATATTTCTGACCCATTTTTAAAGTTTTTCTTCAGTGTATGGGTTGTTGGGACTGGAGAGCTTGTTGAATTATGGGATTCAGTTGTTGATTTTGGTCTTTTCTTGGGATATACACACACAATACACACAACCCCACCCACAATTATACTATTATAATATATAATATTTGGGAAGCCTTTTCTTTGGTCTTATCTGTTTCTGTACAGTTTTACTACCTGCCATAAGAAGGAAACTAACCAGAATCATTTATTGTCTTTTCCTGAGATGCTTTCAGTGGGGGGTTGTCAAATTCTACTTACAGTCCCAGAAATGCCCAGGCCTCTGCATGTGTAACAGCTTAAATACTTTAACATAAAACCCTTTCTGAGAACAGATACAGACACAGAAGGTACCACTTCCGGTCTGTCTCCACATCCGTCTCTTGAACCCTTTACAGGCTCAAAGCTACATCCTTTAATTGGACGTGGTTGTGTGAGAGACATCATCATCCACCACAATCACAACAACACAACACAGAATTAAACATATTGTAGTATGAACCTGTGTGTTTGTCTGCCAGGCGTCAGCGCGTCTTCCCATACATCATAATGCAGTGATCCTGCAGAAATGGATTTGATCATTGATAAAACTATAACCCGTCACAAGGGCTTGATGAATGTGTCTCCTCGCTGAGTGTACGGGCATGTAAAGTGTTGTGATGATGACCCGGCTGATGTCTAAGTGAGGGGGAAGATAAAACTCCACATAAATCAGCTCAACAGGGGGATAACAGCACATTCCCACAAATCATCCTGGGAATCCGAGGGTGTACTGATCCTGGGGAGGAATTCTGGGAACATTGCCAGATCCCGGACACGGAGAGAAAGAGAGACTCAACAGTCTAGTCAGTCGAGGATCAACAGTGTCATTGTGGCCTGTTTCATTCTGCTTCCTGTCTCTGCTTTGGGTCTATAATTATTTTTTGCCTCTTTGTCAGTCTTCCTCTGTATAGTTTTCCTGAATTTCACAAAAAATTCAATTTCGACGGATAGACGAACATTTCAGGAAATGCTACATTGATATGAAATGTGGATGAAAGATAAGTCAAAAACGTATATAAGAATATTATATATATGCGAAGTTTAGGGAATATTAAATCAAACGTAGAGGGCAGTATTTCTATCAAGGAAGCGGCGTCTGTTTTCAAGCAAGTGGACAGCATGTTGAAGCAGAAAGGAGGGGAGGCAGAGGCCCAAAAGCAAGAAAATGGAAAGATGAAAAGGCCGCCGGGGTGGTGAGGGATGCACATTAAAAACATTAAGAAGAGAGAATTACAGTGGCGGAGAACAAGGTCTTTGAGGGAGTGCTCGGAGAGCTTGGTGTAAGAACAAAGAGAGAGCTTGAGGTACAGGGAAGCCCTCTGCGGATAAGACGCTGGATAAGTGTCGGAGACAGGATCGTAAATCCAAAACCCCATAGTCTGCAAGCTGGGGCCCAGGGTCAGGGAGGGAGAGCACAAAGAGAAGGGCTGAGGAGAGGTGGGAGGTAAATGATAATGCAGAAAGATAGACTGAAACCGTAGCCATAAAAAACATCTTAAGGTTGATACTGAATCACTAAAAACAGACACGATTTGAATTCTTTTCCACTGAGATGCTTCAAACCAATGTATTAAATGCTCTCTGTGCTCAGAGGAGGGACTGGACATGGTAACATTGCAAATGGAAACAATGTTGGGGTCATGACGCATGGATCAAATTAAAGTTCCCTGCAGGTTGTCATTATGAACCTGTGTCTTACACCAAGCATTCCTCACATTCTGTCTGCTCGAGATGCAAATACAGCTCCAGTGAGTCATTTGTGAATGTTAATAAACAATCAACACGTTTAGAAACAGGAATGGGGAGTGACATCATTCCCACTCCTTTAAATACCTGTCAAAGCTGAATTGTCCAACAGTTGCTAGATACAGTAGTTTCAATACACGAATAATAGTTACATATAACAAATAAAGAAGAGGAAAATTCCTCCTGTTATTAGTTTTGTTTGTGCTTTTTCCAAAGAGGTTTGCTCCAAAACAAGACCAAAAACATATAACTGCAGGACACCATATGAGCCAATCTAAGGTACTTTTCTAAGGATATTTAATTAGATTGTTGCTTGACAACATTGGATCTGCAAATCCCCCCAAACATAGTACAGTTTCTGTATCTCAAAAAGACTAAATAAAATGAGACAATGCTCAGCCAGCGACTAGGGAAAAACATGGTGTCGGATAAATATTTAAGACAGCAGTTGCTGCTTTACTTGTTATTTACAGTATCCAGTGAGTCCATGATCAGATAATTGTTCTAAGGCTTCACACAGCATGAAATAAATATACATTTGATCTGGCTTCATCCATAATTCTGGCAAAGTTACTCAACTTAAAGTGGAATTCTACCAATTTTACACAAAAACATGAGTTTACTTGATGGACAGTAACATACAGCCTGTAAGAAGAGTTGTATTCTGCCTTCTGTGGCTCTGGAGGAGTTTTGCCAAGTCTGAAAAAACAACCCTGGTGTCATCAGGGTCATCTTGGATTGGGCTTGGACTTCTGTAACAGAAAGTCTTTGTTAAATTATGAGGACGTGAAAATGCTGTAGGTGTTTACCGGGCATGTAAGGGTCTATGGTCTAACGAAAAAGAAGCATGGCATTATGGGAAGTGTAGGATCCAGTGTTTTTGGAGCTTGACCCTTAGGCCAGACATATACTTACTTGTAACTACGCTTTCACTATCACTTTCACTTGATTGTTTTTTTCCTTATTTTTATTGAAAATAGTGGAAAGAATTGAATTTGTCAAACAACTGGCAGCTATATGAATAAAAGACTGTAAATAATCAACTTGTGCAACTGGTGCTTTCAATGCTTCTTGTCTTGTTTTTGTTTTGTCCATCACTAAAACACCCATTTGCTCTTTTTACTAGATCAGAATTGGTTCCTAATTGACATTGACAACCTGGATACAATTAGTAAATCTTGTGGTAAAGAGAAAATACAGCCTCTGTAGCATTGGACAATACATGTTGTATCACATATTGAATACAAATGGTGCTGCCATTCAGTATTTTTAGGTAATGTTTTTAGTTTGGTTTTCCTCCTCCTCATATTCTGGCTTTGAAAAACAAATGCCAACTGATTTATTCAGCAGCCCAATTAGGACATACATATCTTTTCAAATGTATTCTGCTAGATGATTATTGAGCCAGGAATTTGCTCCATTTAAATGAGGCTGAGGATGTGTGTGAGTGTCTTTATCACATGCGACAGGTGACGTATATTTTCAGAGGTCTTTAATAACAGCAGGAAATAAGGCATGTGTCCCGGTGCTGTCCTGAGAGAACGTGTCTCCTGCTGGTAACATGTTGACCACTGTGTTTCTGTCAACACTCCTGATGCTGGGGGGGCTTGGAGGGGCAGCAGTGTCTGACTTGCAGGTCTATGGGAAATCCATCCACAGTGATAAGACTTTGCTGAGTAGCGATGATGGAAGACACACTGTGCGGAAACAGCCATACCAACAGGTAAGAGCTTTAATAAGCCAGGCAGCGTTGATTATTCCAGTGGGAAACTGGATCCATTTTATTAGATTTTCTTTTACAGCTGAAAAGATTAGTCGATCAAGCAATTTGTAATTTTTTAAACAAGACAATCTTGGATTCCAGCTTCACAAAAGTGAGGATTTTCTGCTTTTTTGGTCCTATATAACATTTTGAATATTTGAGGGCTTTGGGCTGAAGTCAGTGATTTAGGAAGTTATAATAGATATTTGTCAATATTTTCCTACATTTTATAGACAAAATAACTACTTGATAATGAAAATATTTGTACACTGCAGCCACTTTCCTTGTGTTCTGTACTACAACTGTCAAGATCATGAAACTGAAACTATGTACATTGTAGAGCAACTGTGAATGCATCACTGTTTTTTATTCCATCAATGGCAAAATTATAAAATGACTGACAACTGATTATTTCAGTCAAAGAAAACTTTTTTTGCTGGGCGGTATTTTGATTGTGTTCCCCCCACTGTATCATATAATATAAAATGATGTGAACATATAGAGGAACATTAGTAGTAAAAACTAAGGCTGACAATTATTTTGGTTTGATGAATATGAATTAATCAAGATAATAGTTGCAGATTAATCGATAAATCTGTTTTTCAAAATAATGTTAAGAAATTGTGAAAAGCCTAAGGTCACTTATTTAAATTGCTTAATTTGTCTGAACAAACTGTTCCAATAATAATCCCTTTGTATTTTAATTTTTCAAGCGAAAATGTCAAACATTTGCTGTCTCCATCTTCTCAAATGTGAAGATTGGTTGCTATTCTTCATCACATATGATACTAAATAATTAACTTCTCATGAAACTAGTTGACAATTAATCACACTTTTCTTTGATTAGACTGATCTTGAACTCAGCGTGTTTTTGTTCACAGGCAAAAGGTGAAATCCGTAGGAGTTTGGATCTCGAGAGCTTCAACATACACGTGTCCCCCACCACCAGCAAAATCAGCCTCCCGACCATCATCAGGCTCTACCCACCCACTGCTAAACCTCTCCACTTCCATGCCAACATGCCTATGCGCTTTGGAAGGGACAGTAATCCTGGTGATGACAGGTCCCCAAACTCGACCCCCAACATGCCCCAGAGGTTCGGAAGGTCTTGGGAAGTGTTTCAAATGTGTGCTGAGTGCCATGGCGTCCAAGAACCACAGAAGTTCCCTCAGGGACTTCGGAGAACCAGTCTGTACTGGAGACTTCTCAGGACTCTGGCCAATGCAGAGTTATTGAACACTGGCTTGCACTGGTAGGCAGCTCTTGCCCGAAATAAATATGTACTTCCAAATAGGAAGCCATAACGCTTTGGTTTGCAGTTACAAAGAAAATTAATTAAGTCAGTGTTATTTCATCTACACTGTAAGACAAGTCCATAGTCTATGAGCATACGCTTCGCTTCAGGGGTCAAGCTTGAGCCTCTCCCATCATACATTAGGTGACAAGATCACCAGTTTATGACATGGCCAGGGTCCTCATCGTCTTATCTTGTTATTTCCAGTTCAGTTTAACATCCTTACACGTCTGTGAGTTATGAATAACACAAACTATGTGTTCTCTTTCCCACAGGGCTGAAGATATTGACTTTACAACCAGCTCGGAAGAGGTGCAGATGCAAGAAAAAAACTTTAATGAGCAAAAGAGTATTAAATAGGCCAACACTGAGGTCTACTATAGCATGTAAATACAAACACACAGTACTGTAAAGACAAATGTGTAAAGGAAAAATGTTCCATAAATATATAAGTAAGTTGAAATATTTAAATTTATGAGTATATTTAAATAAAGTTTCATTGGGACAGAAAACTTATCTTAAACAATAACAATAAAAGTTGAAGTGAATGGTTTGGGTTTTATTTTGCTCTATTATTGAGTCCTATGTACTTTTATTTTGACAATACAGAGTTTTTAAATGCAAAATAAACATATTTGTGTTTTCTAGCTCAGTACAGTGATTGTCCACTACAGGGAGACAAACACCAAGTGAAAGTCTCCACAAAGAGTTCCTAAACCAACACAGAGGCTACAAATTACAGGCCTCATGTGATTGTCATTCAGTTTTTGTTTTTTGTTTTTGGACTGAGAAAATACTGTCCTCTACCTTTCTCCCAGTGAGAGCTAAATAAAGGTGCCAGTCCCAAGGGAACGCCCCTTTAAGTCCCTTATGTTCCCGTCCATGGTGTCCAGATGAGACAGTGTTGCCGGACTGGACAACACGATCCACAAGACAGGCCTTTAGCAGGTTTGGTTTTTAACAGGTGAGAGGAGAAATAAGAACTACAACAACGTAATGGGTTATTTGGTTGTAATACATACATTTTATCCCATTGTCACATGACAGTTTCTGTTCCAAAATATAAAAAAGAAAAATTAACTATAGTCTATGCTGTCTGAGGTGTGTATAATTCTTCATGTACAGTCCACATAACTTAGTAATAACTAAGTTTAGGATTTAAAGAGATAAACCTTGCCAACTGTCCTCAATACTGACACTCAGTGGTGGAAGAAGTACTTAGATCTTAGAAAAACAGCAAAACTGTCATCAAGTAATTTAACAAAAGTAAAATTACTTGATATGCAGAATGGCCCATTTCAGAATAAGGTATTTCATAATATTATTTGCTTATAATTATTAATGAATTACTGTATACATCATGTTAATTTTGCTTCAAGGTGAGGCTAAGTGTAACTACTTCTGAATAGTTTTAATACCTCCTGGGTATCAATAATCTTAGCCTATAATAAAACATCATTAATTTGTTGATTATATTTTGTATTAATAATCTCAATCTACACAGTGACTTAAATTATCAGCCTCTGGAGTATTGTGGAGGACAAAGTAGCAGAAAATGGAAATATGCAAGTACAAGTTTGAAACTGCAATTTAGTACAATATTTTAGTAAGTGCAATACTTGAGTAAATGTACTTACCACCAATGATGACACTTATGTGTGCTGCTAATCAACACGACACATTTTGAATCCCTGCTCTTTCTTTAAATAAATAACTGAATCTAATTTGCTTTATAAACCTTCTTCACAGCAGACACTCGTCAGGGCAGGAGAAGCACTTGTGTAATTAGTAACATTAATAATGGCTGCATTCCTTTGCAGTGTGTCAGTATTATGCAGGTTCATTAGTATGATGACTTACTACTGAGAGTCACCTTAATGGAACTAAATCATCATTAATAATAGTAGTTGCACCTGTGTTTTTCCTGCTATAGCAAACCAAAAGATTTCCTCTCAAAAAATAGACCAGTAGGCCTTTTTACAGAAGACATTTTGACTTGTTATGGCATTACATGAACAACATTAACAAAGGCTCTGTTCTATTCAAGTGTCCTAGTAAGCCATGACAGTGTAACAGTGAGCCAGCATGCACGATAACAGGATCCTGAAACTGCTGCAGCTAACTGGAATTCAGACATTGTTCATTTTATTATTTACTGTGATTTACTGCGACATGTCAGAATGTCTGCAGTGAAGGAACATGTTCAGTGAGCATGTATCAGTCCCTCATTCTTTGCTGTTTGCTGCTATTTCATTTTGCTTTTTCCCATTGATTTTAGCACAATAGATACATTCCTCTGGGTTGACTAGAGGATTGTTCACCTGTTGCACAGGGTGTGGGGACTGACTCCTCAATGATGATTGAGAGCAGCATGGTGATTCCCCGCTTGGTGATTCTTGAAGGCATAAGAGAGGTGGAGAACTACACACCCAGGCTTTTCCGATCTTCTTCAGTTTAGACCAGAAGTCACTTTAGCAGACACAGACAGCTAGAAACTGGTGTTTTTTTTAGGTCTGTTGAGATTTATTTTCTGTCTTTCTTATTTATCATTTAAAGTGATCCTGAGTGAACATAGAACCCCTTAGTAGGCTACCTGTACCAGGGCAGACTTTAGTGTCATTTGTGCAGGAATTTCCTTGCCTTACGGTTTATTTGTATTAAAACCATGTTTGACCGTTGAAGCGCATTTTTTTCATTATTGAAAATTCAATTGTTTGTTATAGAAGAGGCAATTTCATTATAAAGAGGCACGTTTTCATTGTTAAAGTACAGTTGTGTTCTCCAAGTGGATTTTTAAAAGTTGTTATGTGGTTGGGAACTGGTTTTTGGGCTCCTTTCCCCTCAGCTGAGACCTTTGAAATGAGTCATATGTCTTATTCAGTGGTTCATATACCAGTTAGATTGTGTTTCAACTGCCAAGTGCCATCTATATTTATTATTGTATGTCCATTCATTACATATTTACAGTTTTGGGGGGGCGTCTCAGGCTGTGTGAGGAAGAGTCCACACAGGTGTGTCCAGCCCGGACAGAGCAGGGTGTGGCAGAGCTCACTGACAATATTAACAGGGTAAAAACGTGTTCTACTGCTTCTCAACCACAATAATTTCACTCAGTCACACATGAGACCTATTATATCATCTTAATGCCCCAGAAAGTAAAAATTACGCATTTAAATTTACTTTGGTAATATGATTTAAGTTATTTAATAGCAGCTACAGCAGTATTATGCCCTCCCTTACATTGTCAACATACCTCACCTGCCATTGGTAAGTAAATGGGTGTGACCCAGATGCGTCGACTT